CCCCTCCCCCCCCCTCGCTAAAGCCAAGCCGACGCCTCAGCACGTGCCGGCCGCCGAGTGAGGACGTCTCCGCCGGCGGCAGCAGTTACCGACTCCCTGGTCGCAGCGAGGGCGCATCTTCTTACCCCGCAGAAGCCGCGGAGGTGCGAAGTTCGTCGCGGCGGCGGCAAGGAGAGGAGTAGGGGTTTCTTTCGTTAGCGGAGGTGTCGCCACGATCTCTGGGCAAGGGAGAGCAGCGAAGAGAGCGAGAGAGGGCTAGCTGGCGTGGTTGACGCCGCTGACCGGGCGTGACTGGGCGCCTTGTCTCTCGCAGAGGCGTAGGACGCGTAATCGCCCTCCATCGAGCCAGTTCAACAACTTTTGCAGAGGGCGGGCGGCTGGAAGGTAGGCAGCGCGGCGAACTCTCGGTGCGAGGGTCTCTCCCGCGACGTAGCTCAAGTCCAGCGGACGCAGACTCGCCCAGCAGAGGCGGCCGGCGCCTCAGCAGTGGAAGGCGCGCGGTCCCTGCCTCTGCTCCGCTCGCTCTTTCTCTATATATACTGGCACACCCGCTCCGACTCCAGTCCGCTCTGCGCGAGCTTAACCAGGCAACTCGTGGCCGTTCTCCCCGGGCTCCGGCTCCCGGCCCCTCGCCACCGCCCCGCCTCAGTCTGCCCCGAGAGGATTCCGCCGGGTCCTAACACCGACCTCTTCTGTTGCCCCCAACCCATCCAGAGCCTAAATTTATCCTTTCGCCAGCCTCGCCGACTGCCAGTGGAGATTCTGGGTTGAGTTGAGCCGTGCTTGCTATCCCTTTAAAATGTAACAATGACAATAATAATAGTAACAGCAACTCACACTTCTTGTGGTGTGGGCGCTTAAAACGAAAAGGGGTCGGACGCAAACAGCTAGGGGCTTGAAAATACCAAGCAAAGCCGAATCAAGAGAAGTGGAGAAAACATCAAACCCCAAAACTGGAATTCTCTGCTTCTAGATGTTGTGCGGACGGGTATGGCTCAGTCAGGGTAGTTCGACAGCTGTTGTCCATAATGGACAATAGCCCTTCATATTTAGACTCAAGAATATGCCCCGTGGCGGAGAGAGAACCAACCAAAGAGGTTTCTCGACTTCAGGCCCTGTATGTGGTCTTGAAAACCTCTTTTTGGCCTTTGGTAGAAATAGGAAGGTGGACTAGGGATCTAACTGGAGTTTTCTTACCCTCTTATGCAGCTTTGTTCTTAACTTTCCACCTAACCCAAGTACTTATTGTGCCCTTTTGCTCTGATTTTCGACTTCGGCTGCAATCTTAGAGACCCACTTTCCAGGGAGTAAACCTCGGGGAAGCCAGTGGGATTTACTTCGGAGGAAACTTGTATAGAGTGACACCATTTCTCCAATTGGTTGATACAGGTTCAAAATCGGCGAACTCTTTGCTTTTAATTGGGGTTCTGCTCACGGGAGTTGTTGTTCTCTTCTTGACTTGGGACTTTTTGAGGGGAGAATTCTGGGAAAGGCAATTTGGTCTTCTCTCACTTGAAACGTAGCTGCCTCGTCCTTTCGCAACATTTCACCGCGGAAGATTCGGGCTCCGGCTGAACGTGCAAAGACAGGCGCACGGCTTCCTGCACCAGCGCCTCCGCAGGCGCGGCTTAGAAATCTGCAGCCCTGCGCAAAGGTACTCGGGTGCAGGTTCCAGTGTGGGGTTTGGTCTTCCAAGTAAGCATGGCGCGCCTATAACGGATCGATGGGACCTCAGGTGTGCCTAGGAACGCCCAACAAAGCTGGTAGAATTTGCTCAGCCACAGGGCTCGGGGGTAGACGGGCCTCCTCGTTCGAGCCCCTTCCTCCTCAACGGGGGAGGAAGGCAAATCCAAGAGCTTAGAGGGACTTAATGCTGAGCAAACCTGCTTATTGGGATCTGCCTGCCTGTGTTTAAAATCTCAATCTACCCTGGCGCGTCTCCATGTTGCCACCTTTTAGAGCCTGCTTTGGCTGAGGTCGTTCTAGCGCTCTCGCCTTGTTATTTAATTAGTAATCGTTTATTTAAGAGTGCCCCTCATTTATTTCTGGGGT